GGGTCCCCCCTCTTCCCTCTGCAATATTTTGGGGTGCTGCAGGATCTCAGGAACTCCAGGACTCCTGCCCTTTTCCCTGGATGATTTTGAGGGGTCTTTCCCCTTCTCCAGGGAGGATTTTGGGGGACTGTGGGATACTGGGGGGCTCTGGAACTCCTGCATTTCCCCTGGGTGATTTTGAGGGTCTCTCCCCTTCCCTCTGGAGGATTTTGGGGGGCTCTGGAACTCCTGCCCTTTCCCCTGGATGATTTTAAAGGTCTCCCCCATTGCCCAGGGAGGATTCTGAGGGTCTCTCCCACTCCCCAGAGAGGATTTTGGGGTGCTGCAGGATCTCAGGAACTCTGGGACTCCTGCTCCTTCCCCTGGATGATTTTAAGGGTCTCTCCCACTCCCCAAGGAGGATTTTGAGGTCTCTCCCACTCCCCAAGGAGGATTTTGAGGGTCTCTCCCACTCCCCAAAGTGGATTTTGGGGTGCTGCAGCATCTCAGGAACTCTGGGACTCCTGCTCCTTCCCCTGGATGATTTTCTCTCCCACTCACCCCAGAGAGGATTTTGGGGTGCTGCAGGATCTCAGGAACTCTGGGACTCCTGCCCTTTTCCCTGGATGATTTTGAGGGTCTCTCCCAGTCCCCAAAGAGGATTTTGGGGTGCTGCAGCATCTCAGGAACTCTGGGATTTCTGCATTTCCCCTGGATGACTTTGAGGGTCTCTCCCATTCCCTCTGGAGGATTTTGGGGGGCTATGGAACTCCTGCCCTTTCCCCTGGATGATTTTAAAGGTCTCCCCCATTGCCCAGGGAGGATTCTGGGGGTCTCTCCCACTCCCCAAAGAGGATTTTGGGGTGCTGCAGGATCTTAGGAACTCTGGGACTCCTGCTCCTTCCCCTGGATGATTTTGAGGGTCTCTCCCCTTCCCTCTGGAGGATTTTGGGGGGTTATGGAACTCCTGCCCTTTCCCCTGGATAATTTTAAAGGTCTCCCCCATTGCCCAGGGAGGATTTTGAGGGTCTCTCCCACTCCCCAGAGAGGATTTTGGGGTGCTGCAGGACTTCAGGAACTAAAGGACTTCTGCTCCTTCCCCTGGAAGATTTTGAGGGTCTCTCCCACTCCCCAGAGAGGATTTTGGGGTGCTGCAGCATCTCAGGAACTCTGGGATTTCTGCATTTCCCCTGGATGATTTTGAGGGTCTCTCCCATTCCCTCTGGAGGATTTTGGGGAGCTATGGAACTCCTGGCCTTTCCCCTGGATGATTTTAAAGGTCTCTCCCATTGCCCGGGGAGGATTCTGGGGGTCTCTCCCACTCCTCAAAGTGGATTTTGGGCATCTCTCCCACTCCCCAAAGAGGATTTTGAGGATCTCTCCCACTCCCCAAAGAGGATTTTGGGGTGCTGTACTCTGGGATTTCTGCATTTCCCCTGGATGATTTTGAGGGTCTCTCCCCTTCCCTCTGCAATATTTTGGGGTGCTGCAGGATCACAGGAACCCCGTGACTCCTGCTCCTTCCCCTGGATGATTTTGAGGGTCTCTCCCACTCCCCAAAGAGGATTTTGAGGGTCTCTCCCACTCCCCCCAAGGTGGATTTTGGGGTGCTGCAGCATCTCAGGAACTCTGGGATTTCTGCACTTCCCCTGGATGATTTTGAGGGTCTCTCCCATTCCCTCTGGAGGATTTTGGGGTGCTGCAGGATCTCAGGAACTCTGGGACTCCTGCTCCTTCCCCTGGATGATTTCAGGGTCTCCCCCACTCCCCAGGCAGGATTTTGGGGTGCCAGGGCCCCCCTTTACCTCTGGAGGTGCTCGGAGCTGAGGTTG